TATTCATAATTCATCTCATAATATTCATGGACTCTTACACCTGGCAGATGATGTTAAATATCATGGAACACTTGACGAATTTAGTGCTTTCAAATTCGAAAATTTTATGCAGCAACTGAAAAAAATGATACGTAAAAGTGATAAACCATTACAACAAATCAGTCGACGATATGTAGAACGAAAAAATATTGGATTGTTTGGGAATATAAAAAAGGTTAATAGAACTATACCCTGTAATAACAAAAATAATTATTTCAATTTCAATGGATTTACATTAATATCACATAACTCTAAAAATAACTGTTGTATACTAAAAACTGGAGAAATTATTTTAATTAAGGAGTTTTTGTTTGATACAAATTCTAAATTATATGGCTTAAAAGGAAAACAATTTTTGGAGCAAGATGATCTTTATATAACTCCTTGTCCGTCATCATTACTTGGTATTTATGTAGTAGGTAAATTGTCATCAATAAGTACTTGGACCATTTGTCAGGTGCAAAAAAAATGTTTTCGTTATAGACTCCCTTGGAATATAAATAAATATGTAGTTTTTCCTCTTTTACATTCTGATAGTGATGATATTCCAGATTTGTAAATTTTCCTAAATATGAATTATACTTTGATTTTTTCCTAATTATTATTAATGTACAAGTGCAATAATTTATTTTTACCTATTAACACTAAGCAAGGTACATACATTTTACTATTTAATAATAATATAAAGGTACAAATTAATAAAACGTATGATATTCAAATTATTAATATGGAAATTTATAGATTTTTGGTTGTTGAATTTGACGACGGATTACAAATTATCCCAAGTAATTGGTTAATTAACGACAAATCCAGTTTTTTTCCAAATTATAAAAACTTAAAATTGTATGACCGTGCTGTTGTTTCAATGGAAATTCCAAATACACCCACAACTACTTGGGATGTATATAATATTAAAAAGATTTTTAAAAAAACAGGTCTGATATGCCTATTTTGATATATTAAATGTTAATGTGTAATTAAATTGAATATTTTTATTTCTAGATGATTTTACTAAAGCTAAAGAAGTATTAAGTAAAGCAGAGTATAGGTCAGATTTTGAAAGTGACTCTAGTACTGCATTAAAAATGCGCAAAGTGTATGCTGCAAAATCATTTAGTGACAGTGATGGATTTGACGAAAATTCTGATCCCATTAGTAATATTATTCCACCATTTCCAAATCCACCTGGTAATTATACATCTCATAAAAATAAAAATGATCATTTGAATTTAAATAAATTTTAATAATTTGACATAGCAAAAGAACAAATATATACATCTACCCAGAAAAATAGTAGCGGAAAAAAGTGTTTGTTTAATTCAGGTAGTTGAAAAAATTCTTTTATAATATGATACTATAT